TTTACTGTTGTTAATGTGGTAAACGTAACATTGCACATGGTCATACTTCGAGTATCATGTATAATAAAAAAAAAATGCAACTTTATTAGAATTTGTCTTTCCATTTTTCCATTTCTCAATTACTTCATCTTAAATTTTTTATGACGTATCATATCTTATTTCAACCGTTAGACCTAAAACTATATTTTAGTCAAATATCTTCTAAACAATTATAATCTAATTTAAAGGATATACTTACGTATGTTCCTAATAATGTAATAGACAGAAAAAGATTATTTGGCTACACCAAAGTTTTGTATAGATTAATTTACAAGGACAATTTATGAATCTATAATGATTACATCGACTATGTTCTATTTTAGGAAAGGTTTGACTCTATAGAATCGGTATGTCTTTGGTACTTGATTCACTCTGTACATCCCGTACATATTTATATTGGATAAGATATTTATTTATTTATCCTTTTTTGCACAATATTTTTTTTATACTACTGAGGTGGCAAACAAGTATACGGCCTACCTAATTGTTAGCGGTTTCCGTAGTCTATGAACGCCTGCGATACCAGGGGTATTACGCGCGCGTTGCCGACCAACTGACAATGCTGTACAGCATGTACGACATTCTCTACCTAATAAATATTAATATATATTAGTTATATATTTATATTAAGTAGGTGCAAAATACAAGTTATTACTTTTTATTCATTCATAGATTAACATAATAGTTACTAATTTAAAAAAATTAAAGTTTCATTCATAACTACTTGATAGGCGAGAGGAGACAGACAGGAGAGTAATGTTTTTCGTATATATCTTAGTCTTTATATTATACATAACTGTATCTCCATCTTTGACGAAACGAGTAGCTTAAACAGCTTTGTAGATTTTAATGAATAAAATATCGTATTTATTATGAAAATGCTGTAAGTAACATGATGACATTAAAAAACATATATGTATGGTTAAATAGACGTTCAAAACCGCAAGGGTTTACTAGACTAAACTAGACATGGCATAATTAGTAAAACTTGACTCTGCCACGTCTAGTTTTAAGTCTAGAGATGTAAATAATTAAGGTATTTATAATTCATCTCCTGATGGTTTCAAGTACGTATATAAAATTTATATACATGAATACATACTCATCATAATAAAGAAATATGCCATATTGCTGTGACAGAATATTACGTAAAACAAATTTGTGTCAGATGCAAAGTGTACTGAATAACGTAGCTTATATAAGTAAACATGGAGAGTCGTCGGGGGTCTTGATTCCACGCATTTAACGCCGATATAAAATAACGACTCAAAGTTTTGGAGGTTATCGGCATAATTTTAAACATTTCTACTCAGAATCCCTGAAGCGGTGTAAATTTTAAGTAAGAACATCTTTTCTCGTAAACTTTGCTTGTTTCTGGGATTCGATACTCATAAAGTTGATAAACTTTGTCAATGAAATTTCAACTGTTACAAAAGGCATTGTTTTAAAATTTCAACATTTATAGCAATGTAAATTATCTAATTGGGATTAATTCAAGACAACGGTAAAGATAGTCTTTGTTTACGCCAAGAAGGCCCAAGTTATTACTGATTTTCATTACATTTAATTCAATAGAGTATGTTTAAAAATATTATAAAAAATTGTAAACATGGTAGATGCAATAACGTTCGAAAAGTGGAAGAGAAATTTATATGCTGATAATATTTATTTTGAATACATTCAGCCCAGTCCGTGTGGTTTCGGCATAGAATAGGCCACCCCTTTTTTTCCCATGGGTATCGTAAGAAGCAGTTAAGGAAGGGCGCGGTATGGGCAGAAGCGTCTCTTTTAAAACATTTCTAAAGCTTAATTGTGGTTGCTAATCCGCTCGCCAAGCATGGCAATTACTGGCAAACCCCCCTTTAGGGGGAGGCTTATGTTCAACAGTGGACAGTTAAAAGCTGATATGATGATGATGATGACATTCAATCTGAATAGCTTAGAGATATGGGTTTGAATCCCTTTGGATCAAGACGTTGAGAGGCAAAATTTCTTGATCTTATATTATTAACAGATTGAATTTGTAGAATTACTGTATAAAGATTCAATACTAAGTAATTTTGTTAATTGAACGTATTTAGTTGTTAATAGTTACAATGTAACAATTACTCAAATTTGGAAATAATTTAAACCAGAAGTTGTGCTTTATACCTTTGAAACATGATAATTAATTAGCGTACCTAATTTTGAACAATGCAGTAAAACGTAATTTATTCATTACAATGAATGATAATCTGACTGAATCTGAAAATTTTGGTATTTGTAAAACACACGTGGAAATGATATAATAGAGTTTAGTATTTGTGACTTTTTAGTTGAAGATTAAAGGAGAATAAAAATAAAATGATACATTAAAAATATAAATTAGAGGATATGATGAGTATACAATATAAAAAAAGTATTGCAAAAATTCCCCTAATTGTAAATAAATAATAAATTTATAAATAAAACAAATAATGTGGTTAGTATTATAATTATTAGTGCAGGATTTAGGAGACTTAATTACTAGCTACACGATCTCGCTTTTTGCAAATGACTTGTAATATATTATTCGTATTTTTAAAACAAGCTCAATTTTTTCATATTAACTTTCATAGTTACTATACCAGAGGGAGACTTTGTACAAAAGTCGATTTCTTGGGTACCTCTGTCCCATTCGTGTTTCAACCGTGAAGCAGTTGTGTTTGCATGGCTGTGTTTCAGTTTGAAGGGTGGGATATGGCGTGAATTTACTGGGTACAGAGGAATAACATCTGAGTCCTCAGGAATGGCAATGCATGGGGGGTAATGAGCAAAACAGTATATTCTATTATATCCATGGTACTGCTCATGTCTATAGGCGACGGTTACCACTTTCCATCAGGTGGGCCGCCAGCTTGTTTGCCATTCTAAGTTGCATAAAAAAATATACAAATTTCTAAATAACAAAACAGAGTAATATGTATCTAATAATAAAGATATGTAAAAGTTTTCGCTATTGGTGTAAACAAAGACAGAAAAACGAGGTTTAATTATTCTTAAAGTTCGTAGTTCCAAACCGTTGAAAGGAGAACAGATGTAATGTTTAAAGATTGCAAATAATTCATCTTTTCAAGCCCCAAGATAGATAAGGACGGTTTATTGTTTTTCAATTTGCAAGATGGATGAAGGAGACTTCTTTTAGATTGATTTTTGTCTTCCTATAAAATTTATGTGTTTCATTCACGTAGTTTACTTTAAAAATATAAGTATATATTGACATATAATTATTCTATATATAAGTGACCATAATAATGTAGGTACTTTAACAAAAATACATTTAAAATACTATGAGTAGCTACTATTTATATAATTAAAAGTTATGGATATTTAATAGTATTCATTAATGGGTTACAGCTAGAAATTAATTATAAGAAATTTATAAATATCATATGTGCATATTATATAATGTTATAATATATTTACAAACTTAATAAATACACACCTAGTCGTTTTGAAGAGGTAAATTAATTAAACAGTTTACTTTGTTACTTGCGTCGGCACCTACGTAATTGAAGCATGTTATGCCAATGTTTGCGAATGTAGCCATAAATCAATAACAATATTTATTGAAGCATATAAGCGAAACATATCCAATGCCTTGGCGCATTGACAGATCGAGGGATAAACTAATTAGTCTAGTTACTGGAGCGAAAGAGTTACAAACAAATATTGCTATTACATAATATTGTTTCTATAGTTAGAACTTTCACGAATTAGTTTCTTACGTAAATGAATTGAAACTATATAGAGTATATTATGAGATAGATACATGTGAAAGTAAATAATAGTGTTTATAGTTTCATTAATATTTATATTAAAAAGTCATAAGTTAATTTTACTTTGCAAAAATAACGATTTCATGATAAAATTAACAAAAAATAAATAAATATCCAAATTAGAATCCGATTTGGCAGGGGATGAGCTTTCCGTCATTTGTATTGATTTCAATTAAGTACCACGAACTTATTTGATATTACACTTGTGAAATATACTTTTGAATATATAGTCAATTAATCTATATTAATGAAATTATTAAGTTTCTAATTATTCCAAATACATAAGTACACAAATTCTTTAATTTTGTAATATTTTATATAATAGTTATATAAATAGTTGCAATCCTAGATTTATTAGATAGTTCTTATTGAATTACCTATGTAGTTCGAAAACCTAACATTTAATTTAACTTAAAATAATAATTTAAAAGCAAACTTTTCACAGCATTAAAGTTTTCATTACAAAATAAGGTGGGCCTAAATTTACTACTTCATTAATTTCTTTTGAAATCTTAACGTAGAATAGAAGTCTCAAGTTCTAAATTTTGGCTTAAATTAATAGGGATCTTATTACGATTAAACTTGTAACTAATTGTAAACTTTTTAATTGATACATGTAGCACCTAAACCCATTGTTTATTTTACGGCATAATTTTTTTGGTATACAACCAAGGAGTCTGCTTCATGTATCGATAGTCACGAGTTCATTTCCCGTACAATACATACATTTATATTCATGAGTATGTTTGTATTAGCACAAAGTAAAAAAATATCTAGTCCCGCGGTTGAATTCTGGATATTTTCTATGTCTAATTGAACATATAACTGAACATTGAAATAGATATAATTTTAATTTATGTTGTGATAATAGTCACTATGTTTAATTTCATGACATAATATTATATCTAATTATAATAAATTACTATTGGTCTTTAATTATTATTACTTTACAAAGTTTACGAATCTACATTTCGAAATTACTATCACAGTTCCCAATTCACCACGGCTTGAGTACAAAGTTGAGTATAACTTATGTATAAAATATTTACAAATACTGTACCAAACTTTAGGTACTCATATTCTAATATTTTTAATAACATTATTGATGTTATTTTACTTTATTCAGTTATTATTTCTTAAGACTTATTTACAATGTGTACTTACCTTTCTTTTCTGAGTTCGCTGTTACGTTTGCGGAAGTTGGCGACAAGTATTTGCAGCTCAGAAGAGTGTCGCTCGTAAAGCTGCGACAATTGTGTCGTGAAGTCGGACACTGCAACAAATGGACAGATAAGGTTATATTGTAAGGAATGTACGTATTATGCGGGTTTCCCAACTATGCAGAATGAATTCGAAAAAACGGTACGTTAAAATAAAAATATCTACCCATGCTATATAATATAAGGTGGAAATGTTGTTAATCATGTGTAAAAATAATAATAAATAAATAAAGAAACAACAAACAAACCTCTCATATTAAATAAATATTTTTTCAGGCAATGTTCCTTTGGTTAAAATTGTCAGTTTCACTAGAAGAAATACAAATATAAAAAGAATTCGGCATTTCACACAGGAACATATAGTAGAAAAATATTTATTAATCATATGGAGCACTTCAGTGAACAAAACAGTACTTCAGAACGCTCCCTTTAAACAGTGATCACGATTTGCTCTGTATGTACCAATATATATAGTCCAACATAACGTCTCTATAACGTATTTTAATCTAATTAGGAAAATAGAAAAGAACCAGAAAGTTTATTATTTTTATGTTATTAGCAATAATAGTAGCGAGTACTGAGTTGTATTCAATATATGAAAATAAATTCAGAAAAAATGTTATAACGAATATCATAAGTTTTTTCTTATATAAAATGATATTAATATAGCATAGAGTATTACTTATTGCGAAAGTTTTGGAAATATTATACTATTCTCTGCATAAAATAACTGTCATACTGTGCACAAAATTTTAACCAAATAAATGGATTTTGGATTTTAGCACTACTGTTAGAATACATTTTCCAGAATACAATGGCTATTACAATATTTTCGTAAAATTAAATTGTTTATACAAGAAGTAAATTTAATGGATTCATCTTTAAACAATTCATTTTAAATATTAAACAAAAAATAAAGGTATTGCTTTACGAGAAAAAAATTAAATAAAAAATAGTGACATCAATTTGCAATAAAATTAATATGAACCACTACGGGAGCTAAACCCTATCGATTGTAAAATAAAAATAACATCGCTTCTGAACTGGTAAAGGTATCGCATAACATACATATAAGAAAGAGAATTTAAAAGTTGCGACTTTCTGAAGTCTTTCAATTAGTTTCGTCTCTATAAACTTGCTGTCTCCCGTTTTCCTTTGAATATACAAAAATGTTTTTTTAGTATTCACTTAAAGCATAAGTATAATAAAGGATCTTTATGTACAATTTTGTATTTCTATGTATACTAGTTTCCGCTGTACATTTAATTTTGCCAGCGCACACTTTTATCCATTTCTCTAAAGTGAATACCCAAAAATATTTTCCGAATGAAAGTCTACATCATATAAAGAACCTAAATTACAATTTCAATTTTAAATCATTTTTATTTTGAGAGATAGATCTGTCAATAACTCGGAATAAATCTTACAGATAAACATTGTATTATTGTTTGAAAAAATGTACATATAATGCATAAAATATACGACACATAGATAAATGAAATTAATCTAATAATTAAGACTATATATAAATATATAAGTGAACGGTTTAGGTTTTGGATTAATAAACAAGTAGTTTATTTTTAATATTTTTTATGAATAAAAATTCATAAAAAATATTAAAAATAAATTATGCCTATGTTATTTGACGATAATGGCTACAGGTGAAAAGATTTTTTAAATCGGTTATGTGATACATGATACATTATGTGATACTGTTTGAGTTTATCTGTTACGATAAAAAAATAAAACCTTTGCTCCTTATAATTTTGATTTACACAATACTGTTTTTGAAAACTGTTAGACAAAACAACATCCTCGTATTTTTATATTTCTCCATAGAGATTTCCCCTTCATATAGGTATGTTACAAGATGTAAATGAAATAAAAAGTAACATAAAACGTAAATATAGGTATATAATTATATCTACGTATTATAAAAAGTTTTAATAATCAAACTTTATTCGAGTTCATAGATGTAAATAAAGTCGTAAGTTTTCGGGACTTTTTAGCTCCAATTATAAGTACTTTGAAACTTCACAGACACGAGTATACTTTGTCCGCAAAAAAAAAGACAACAAAGAAAAAGCAACTTAATGCTCTTATTGATCTCGTAGATTCATTAGATTAAAAATATTTTAAATTAGAATGAGAAATTATGTGCCTATCAGATTTTGTTTTAACAAGCAGTTATATGCTGTGCAAAAAAAATGGTAGTTTATATCATCACCAAATTTATATATGGGGATAAAAACTATTGTTTGTATAAATTTAAATATCGCATAACATAGTCATAAATATATATATATATATATGTATATTAGAGTTTAGTAGTAAGCGTTATGTAGAGGCTTGAGGGGTGATTTGTTGGTCTTAAAGTAACAGTGGTTTTTAACTAGGTGAAAAAATGGGCCCACTAAAAAATAATTTATTCTCAAAGTGGACAGTAGACAAAATAAATTTGGGGACCCCTGGTATAGGAAATAGCGTCAGCATTATTAGCTATATATTCTGTTGTATGGACCCCCATACGATTCCCACTAGACACCATTGCAGTTAGTTCCTTGTGAACTAGTCTCAAGGGTCCAATTGACCTGACTTTTATATCATCTATTGTCACTACTCGGTACTTAGCCAGTTTACATCAATAGTGCAGATGAGAGTTACTATATCATTTTCATCTTTTAAAAACTACATTGTTCAATGTTCATTTTACGAAATTTATTCAATTCTAATTGTTAAAATATTATACAAAAATATGAAGCAATAACAAAATTTAATATCAAATACCATCTGATTTCTGCTTCTTTTATGTTACGCTTAGCTTCATAAATTATGTAAGCAATGCGATATTGTAAGGTGATGCAAATCGTACCCATACAATGTTAAAGAGAAAATCTTTTTTATTACGAGAACAATATTTTCTGTCTTTCTAAGTAAAAAATGTCTGCATTATATATAACATTAGATTCATGACTTTTTTTGTTAATATTATTTTATATTTTTAACAAAAATAGTATAATAAATTATATGTGATTTAATTATTTATTAAGTTATTGAATACCTAATTAATTAATTTAAAGCTAATTAGTTAGGGATTTCTGAAAGAAAACTCTTACAGAGTTTAGTTTGCTTTTTACAAAAGTAAAGACAACAGGAATGCTTACTGGTCCGATGTTCTACTCAACTTACACAATAACAAAGTGCCACCAACAACTTATTTAAACTACTGTGGTATTTACGAAAATAAAATTTCATTTAATTATTTATTCAGTTCTATAATGATAATATAAATAATTTATATACTCTCCTAACATTGATTTACGCCCTTATCCCAAGTACTTTACAACAATAAAAATAAAACACAAACGATCTCAATCTTCTTAATGTACAACTGAAAGGGTGCGTAATTTATAGATAAGTAATAAATAACTTGATACTTTTAAAGAATTTTAGAAGGCTTAATACCTGCAGCTCGAAGAAGTATCTTCAAAGTGTAGGTATTAACCCTTAATAACTTAATTCATGTAAATATTTGTATTCATTATTATGATAAATGTAACATTATTATAACTTGGATGGTAAATTTTGATAAAATATTGTCAAAATCATTTTGTCTTAATAACTCTATTGTCGATAATCTAGACAAACGCCGCTGTAACTGGATCGTTATGTAAGATGGGAGGCATCGATGCGGTTGATCCTGTCGTTTATAACTTACCTACATGCATAGAATTGAGAAGGGACGCTCGAAGAATATAATAAGTTAGAAATAGAAAACGGCGTGATTTAGGTCTGACATCGCACATTAAACCAAGGTCTTCTATTCACTGTAGATTATCTGATTATAAAATAAATTGGACGTATTTTTATTGCGCAATATGGATATTCAGTTATTAAAACTTTAGCTTTCAGTGATAGAAAATATATAAAGACACCGATAGTGTAGTCTACAACCTAAAATGTTTCCTTTTTTACTTAAGGGAGTAAAAATTAATAGTAAAAATTTTAATTTAATTATATACAAATAATCATGTAAATTACACGCATATGGAAAATCTTTCAAAATAGAATAATACATATTATTATATTAGCTTTATCCCGCAGCTCTACTTTCGTAACTCAGTACAGTATATAAGTATGTGTTAAGTAAGGATATAACTGACCTGTGTACCAAATTTTATTTAAATCCGTTAAGAAGTTTGCGGTAAAGAGTAACAAACATCCATCCTCCTAACCATTCTTACGAACTTTAGCATTTATAATATTAATTAATATTAATAGGATAATTATAATAGGATTATATTATACACCAAATGAGTTGAGATAACACTTTTCAAAAGAAGAGTTTCTGAAAGTATTGGTTGTGCTTAGGAATTTTAAGTGAACCGTGTAGATTTTGATGAGAACAAGACAAAGCACTTTCAACGAACAGAGGATTTCAATCGGTGGCCGTTTCAGCCACATGTCAAACACACAGACAATTTGTTATATTTTAATGTACCCCTATCGCCCTAAGTTTAGCTTTTCTAGTTTTATCAATTAACTACATTTACTTGTTATTTAATTAATACTAGCTACCTATCCTGATTTCGCATTAAAAAAGTTTAATCCTTAGAAATGTAAAAGTGTGTTTGTTTTGTTGCATTTGACGCTTTAACAGCTCAACAAAACGCCATAAAATACACATTTTATTAGATATTTAGAAGGCTTTTATTTCTATTAATCACTATACCACAGTCCCTTGGACGAAGTTGCGATAAGTTTGGTAGATACATATATCATGTCCTAGATTAAATAAAAGGATTTTTTAAATATTTTTTGTAGATAAACAAAGGATGCAGCTTATGAATGGATAATATTTATGGGATTAGGAAGATAATATTTATATTACAATAAAATTTTGAGAATACAGTATTTTAATAATAAATATTTGAGAAAATATTTATTTTCACTTTCTAAAAATAGATACTGCTTCGATAAAAAAAAATACAGTTTTGGTGTATATAAATTCTTTTTTTATTAAATGAAAACGGAATGATAACCCAGCTTGCAC